TGGCTTTTGACAGGCAGAAATCAATGTGGAAGCCAGCAGAAAGTCACAAGTCATGATCAGGTGACATCGCACTTAGTGACCTGCCGTGATTCACTTATGACTGTAAAAAGAACTGACAAACTGACATAGCTCTGGCATAGTCACATGATTTTACTTTACGACTGCATTGTTTAATGATGGAGTTGCCAATCCCAATTGTGGCTGATAAGTGACTGCTATCTGCAGCCACTTTAGTTTTAAAGACAGTGGTCATGCGCATGTGTGGGTTTATCAGAATTGATACAGTGAACTGGACTGAAAGGGGGAAAGGCACAGCGAATAAAGAGGATGACCTTGAAGGACTGAGGCAGCAGTCAATAAATGAAACTTCAGCCCAGGTCAAGGATGTAATTTGTGAAAATGCCTCTGGTAGCCCCCCACCCTTCTCCTGAAAATAAAAGAGGCAGGAAAGGTAGCATGAACAAGATGCTGTTATTATAACTGTTCTAATAAAAGTATTTTTAGATCTATATCTTAATCCTTATAGGGCTGACAAAAGGTGATCTGGAGTACATATGGAGTGTGCATTGTATCTGTTGGCACCACCTTAAATCATGAGTGTTTTCTTGGATCAGGTGCTAGCTTTTGCTGAGCAAGCAAAGGAAAGGCTACAGTTTCTTTAAGGGAATTGTCTTCCTTGCTCTGAATCACCTTTTTCCATGGGTATGAAATCAGTAGCAGATTTATTCATTTATTTATTATACAGGCTGCCCATTTTACATATATGACTCTAAATTAATTGAACAGCTTTTATTGTAACAGTAGGATTTTTTTTAACCTTTAAAGGCTTCCTTCACTGAATAAAATGTATGGCAGTGCTTTAAAACTATCATCAGTGACATATAGGAAAAGACTTTATGAACTCCTTGCTTTGTTGCCTCCCAAGAGTTATGAAGGTATGTATACTTCTTCCCAAAATATTTCTAAAGACTTCCCTCAAGCTTGTCTTGCTGTAATAACAAAAGGACAAGTAAAGCATTGTAACACAGAATATAATTAATTTGTATGTAAGAGAAAGACTTAACAGAGAATGATATTTAAAAAACCTGTACCAAATGAATTCCATGCATAATACTAGTTAAAAAATAGAGACAGAGAGAGCATAATTTGAATAAAGGTTAAGATTTTAAAAAGCAGCGTATTGTATTCAAGAAGGGATAAAAATGCTGGTAGCCTTTATAAATTCAGGCATGACGACAGAGCATAAATGGTGTGCATTATAATTCAGAATCTAACTGATCATGTGAACTTTTTGCTCTATGGTTCTTGCTCTGCTTTTTGTTTTCAGTATTTTTTTTTTGGCACATAGAGACTGTAGATGTATCCCTTTGTGCAGTGAAATTCAGAAATAAAGGTATTGCTGTAACACTGAGTAACAGACATTAGACCACACAGCAGTTCAACATTTCTAATCTTAGGCTGTCCCTCAAAGTCAAATTAAACTGCAGGGTAAACAATTAAAAATATACAACTACTCTGTCTTACTGTAATAACCAAGAGTTTTCTGTTTTTCATAGCTAATTTGTAGTTTTCTCCTATGACATAATGTATTATAAGGCATTGTAATGGAAATAGTGTATTACAGCCTAACATATTTCTTTTTTGTTTCTATTATACTCCCTTCTCTATTAAATTCTACATAGTTAGAACCATGAACTATATTTTCCTATTTTAATTTCAGGTAGACTACCCAGTCACTGAAAATGAAAAGAAATTCCAGCTGTAAAAAATAGTTCTCTTGATATTTATAATCTTGAATCTGGTGTTTCACCAGAATATCAATCTTTCAATATCAAATTTATTTCAAAAGACATAATGTTTGGTACTGCCAAATCTATTTTCTAATAAATAGCCAAAAAGAAAATACTCTTCATTAAGTTATTATTGTGTTCCAAAGAATTTTTGCTCTACTGCAATAATTTCTGGAAGAAATAAATTCTTCAGCTTTTCTTTCTAACAGTTGATTGTGATATGCTACATTCTTGTTTTAGAAAGCCTTTCATTTTTTGGCATAGAATATTTCATTTAAGATTATTAAACTCATTCAGGTTTATGATCCACCAATCCACACATTTATCAGAAATCACATGACCTATTTCTGGTCCTTAAAATACTGTTGCAGTGGTGTATTTGGGTACCAGCTATGCATTAAAAAACATTTCCTTTCATTTCTAAAATTACAGGAAGTTTCTCTGCTGTTCTTAAAGAACTAGTGCAAGACTTGACTCAATTTGATAACCAGGCAGCTGCCTCTGCTGCGTATCTTCCGCCCTTTTCCCACCACTGCGAACTTGCCTTATTTGATCCGTTACTGCGGGAGACAGAACACAGATTTATTGAAGAGCAGGTACTATATTTTAGTGGTTATTTATGCACATAGAGGACAAAAACCATGTCCTGCAATGACAATTGTATTTCTTCTGTCTTTGCAGTTATTCTTAGTTAACAATACAGCTGGGGGAAGCTTGGAGTTTGACCCATTTGCAATCTATGAGAAGACTGGGCATGGAGATTCAGTGCCTAAGCCTTTGTCTCCAACTTCATCCATTGTCAGTGCAGCAACCCGTCTTTTTGGAGTGATATTTTCACAAGTAACAGAGACACAAAGGTAAAGAGAGTACAGTTGAGAATTCAGTTTCAGATTAGTTACTCATGGGAAATACATTATTTTTCAAAAGCATGCATTTTATCTAAACATTCTTTTTTGCCTTATGAACTAAACCATGATAGGAATTGTCTGTCTTAATTTATATACTATGTATATACTAAGTATATACTAATTTATATACTTAATTTAATACATACGTATTATGGGGCCAAGAGTTTCCCTCTGAGCAGTATAGCAGTGTGCTGAGTGTTAGGTGAGAGTAATTATGCTACTAAGAAAGCTGATTGGATTGTCAGTAGTGGAGTTGTATAAAATAATGTCATAGACCTGCACTTTTTATATGAACTGGTTTTATTGTATAATATTTGCAAAGATTGGAATATGAATAGGAATCTGAAAAGTGCTGTATTGTGTTTATTGCATAGATCTTCTTAACAACTCTGTATTCAGTTAGTAATCTTCTCATATGGTAGGTGAGAGATTGTTAGAAAAACTTTGTTTATATTCAACATAAATATGATTTGAAATAAATTGTAGATGCAACTTTATCAACATGTGTGTTTTTTAATTAAAAAGCTCTGACATGTTTCCCAAGTTTTCTTAGTTTCCTCAAGCCACAAATCCCTGGATTATGGATATAAGAAATGCACTGAAATATCCTGTATGTGTGCCACAGTAGCTGTTTGAATGTTTTTGAGAGGCAACGATAACCTTGACAAAGAAATATAGAGAAATATTAAGAGAGAATTTAGAGATTAACACTAAGAAATAAACAGCTTTCTGCTGAGCCATATTATATAGACTTTACAGTATATGAAACAGAGCCTTTACAGTATATGAAATGGGAGAAAGGCTAATTATTCAATTTCCTCTTGACTTTGCATGTGTTTAAGGCTGCAAGTGCTGGAACAGTTATTGGCATCCATAAAACAAACCAAAGGATCACGGCAACAGATAATACAGAAAAATATTATATCAGCAATTTGCAGTGTCCTAAAGGTAAGAGCCTCCCTTCAGTTTATTATGAAAGTCAGTGATATCCACCATAATCATTTAAGGGGAATCTGAAAGCAAGTTTGCTGTCTTTTCCTTGAAATTACTACTGAATCTTGTTGTCTGTTTTATTACTGAAAAAATGTAATTTAAAAAACAAGTAGATGAATTCAGCCACTGTTAATATCTTTGTTGTGCTTCCAAAGTTGAGTCTGTTGAATGGCATCTATAGCTAGATCAGTGGTTCTCAACCTGTGGGTCGGGACCCCATTTGGGGTCGATCGACCATTTCATGGGGGTCACCAAGCAAGGCTGTCCGCCATTTTTTGTGTCCGCCATTTTTCCCCCCTTTTCCGGCGGGTGCCTTACCTCCCTTGGGCTGGGCCAGCTGGTGGTTGGCCTGCTCCGTCTCTGCCGCTTGCCAGCTATGCCTCGGCCGGCGCAGGGGGCGGAACCACGCATGCGCAGCGCTCCCGGGCAGGGAAAGTCCTTGACTTACGACCGGTTGGGTAGTCCTCGACTTACGCCCGGTTTAGTCCTTGACTTACGACCGGTTTAGTCCTCGACTTATGACCGGTTGGGGTCGCAGCATTAAAAAGGTTGAGAACCACTGAGCTAGATGATATCTGTTTCATTTTCCAAGGTATTTATTTCCATACATAACACTAATGCTTGTTTGCTTTTCAAATAAAAGGTGAACCACCTTGTATGGTTTAGCATTATAGATGAATGCAGGCTTGGTTTAATATAACACATATAATATTGATATGATGCATAAAATACATCATATCAAGAGTCAATGCATTTTCTGCTCCCCTAAAAACTTCATTATAATTTTAAGGTCATCTGAAAGAAGTTCTAAGTATTATTTCAATAGACTACTATATATTAAATAACTTGAACTTGCCTTGCTTTGATGTTAAACAAAGTCTTCACAATGTGTTGCTTTAGATGCTATAATAAAGTACTATTCCTTTTCATTAATGACACAAACTTCTGAAAACCTTTTAACTACAAGAGTGAATGAGGGCAATATGCATGTTCGCAGATTCCCTATGGCTCTTTCATCTCAAGCATTTTATGCTAAACAAATAATTTAATATAAATTTAGTGTAGCATTCCGGAACCACTGATTGGTTTAAAATTGGGAAAGGAGTCCGGCAAAGCTGTATTCTGTCGCCCTGCCTATTTAACTTATATGCAGAGCACATCATGAGAAAGGCAGGGCTAGATGAATCAAAACTTGGAATTAAGATTGCCGGGAGAAATATCAACAACCTAAGATATGCAGATGATACCACTCTAATGGCAGAAAGTGAATAGCCTCTTGATGCGGGTGAAGAAGGAGAGTGCAAAAGTTGGCTTGAAGCTCAATATTAAGAAAACCAAGATCATGGCATCCGGCCCTCTCAATTCCTGGCAAATAGATTGGGAAGAAATGGAGGTAGTGACAGATTTTATCTTCCTGGGCTCCAAGATCACCACAGATGGGGACTGCAGGCAAGAAATTAAAAGACGTTTGCTCCTGGTGAGGAAAGCTATGGCAAATCTAGACAGCATACTAAAAAGCAGAGACATCACCCTGCCAACAAAAGTATGTATAGTCATGGCCATGGTTTTCCCAGTTGCAATGTATGGCTGTGAAAGTTGGACCATAAGAAAGGCTGAGCGCAAAAGAATTGAGGCCTTTGAATTATGGTGATGGAGAAGACTCCTGCGAGTCCCCTGGACTGCAAGGCGATCAAACCGGACAGTCCTAGAGGAGATCAACCCTGACTGCTCTTTACAAGGCCAGATCCTGAAGTTGAAACTTAAGTACTTTGGCCACCTAATGAGAAGGAAGGACTCACTGAAGAAGAGCCTAATGCTGGGAAAGATTGAGGGCAATAGAAGAAGAGGACAGCAGGGAATGAGGTGGCTGGATGGAGTCACTGAAGCAGTAGGCGTGAGCTTAAATGGACTCCAGAATATGGTAGAGGACAGGAAGACCTGGAGGAACGTTATCCATGGGGTCGCAATGGGTCGGACACGACTTCGCAACTAGCAACAAAAAGTGTAGCATTCAATCCACTTGCGGTATATTGCCTCTCCTTAATAATTCTTAGCTTCTGGTTCTATTCTCTATATTATATAATATTAGCAGAATTATGTGAGCCTTGGATCCTGAGGATAAAAAGGTGACTGTACATTTCAATAAATACAGTGATACTGTTGTAGAATAGCCATTTGTTGAATTGTAGTGGAGAAATCTGAGATAATAGAAGATATCACTTTGTTCTATGCTTTATAAAGCCTAAAGAAGGCAATGTTCATGTAGCTGTAGATATTTAGATTGAGAATGTAATTTGGCATCTAGAATAGACATAATTTGGCATCTAGTACCAAGAAGAAATTATAGCCTGCCTATAATTTTATCTTCCCAGACATAACTGAAGAATTGATTTCCCTTTAGCCTTAAAGTATTTGTCTACATATTTTTAGTTATTGGGGGATCTCCTTTAGTAGAGAAGAACAGTAGAATAATAATAAATGTAGAGTTTATATAATCCCTCGAGAGTTCTGTAGGTAACAGTAGTAGTTTTTGATGTTCTTTTAAAATCTTCCCAAGATAGAGTTTACTTTGAATCTACTATGTAATTATACCGATTTCTTTAAAAGCCTATTATGGCTTTTTGTAATGCTTATGCTTTTAAACTTCATGTTGCGAGCTTCTCTAAGAGCATTTGTTCTTGGGCAGAATACAAATATAAAGAAAAGTGTATTGATTTTCATTTCCTCTCCTATTTGCATGTCTGTTGAAAGAAGGAAAATATTTACTGTTCAGTAATGGTGTTATTTATAAACTCTTCTTTATTCCAGCACTTGGCTAGCCATAAGGGAAATTTAGGTTATGAAGAAATCCAAGGCTGCACCTTGAGCTTGATCCTAAGTGCCTTGGAAAGTAACAGTCCCCTTCTAAGATGTTCTGCTGCTGAAGCCTTAGCCAGACTCGCACAGGTGGTAGCTGATACTACCTTCACTGCTGGATTGGCACAAATTAGCTTTGACAAGTAAGCAGTTTCTCATAATATGGTTTTGTTGCATTGTATCAAAAATAGGCACCCCTTTGGGCCTATGTAACCCTGCCATCAGGTTGACCAGATTTCAATTCTGAACAGATTTTTTTTAATTTATAAAAAGGAAATATTTAAGGAGCAGAGGTAGAAAAGCAAACACCTAATACAGTGTGTCTCAACCTTTGGCAACCATGAGATGTGTAGACTTCAGCTCCCAGAATTCCCCAGCCAACACCTTTCTTTCACACACCTTGTTCTATCTTGTTGTTTTTCTCTTCTGCCCCTGTACAGAATTCACTTCTGCCGGAAATGTTCATTCCATAGTTACATAAGGATTCTCTGTCAGCTGAGAATCACTGCTTCTCTCCTTCATTAGCACTTACACCAAACATCTATAGATGTCAGTTTAGTAAATATAAAGTTCTTCAGAATTCATATCGGTAAACTATACATCAATAACTTAGCAGTTGAATTGAAATTTGTCTGAAATTTTCTGAAATAAAAAATATATATCACACAATAAAATCTACAAATTATAATTACAACTACTATAGTCTATATTAGATATATATTATTTGCACGTAACCTCTAAGAAATAAAACATTTCTTTTATATCTCTGAATAATATATTTTCCACTTTGCTTTCCTGGCCCCCAAGAAATACATTGGGGAATTGTTCAAGCAGTCATTAAAATTGCATCAAAAAGAGTGGTTTGTTTTTCCTAGCAGCAAAATATTATATCTACAATAATTCTGAATACATTTATTGGGGATAACTTTGAAGATATTTATAATGAGATTTAAGTAAACACAAATAAGAGATTAGTCTAATTTTACTCATATGCATTTCAGTACTTGAAATTTAACTAATGGCATATTCATGATTGGAGGAAGGAATACATTTTTTTAAGTTGGTAATTTGTGTAGAAACTATACAAAAATATTGAAGTATTATGGAGTTCCGTTCAGATAGACCAAATCAAGAAATCTACTCCACAAGATGACTAAAACTACTTTTATTGAGATTAACTATAACAGTGATGGCGAACCTTTTAGAGACCGAGTGCCCAAACTGCAACCCAAAACCCACTTATGCATCATCGGGTGCCGGATGGGTGTGGCCCATTGGGTGGGTGTGGCCCATTTGGTGGGCCTCTGGCACCAGTGCCATAGGTTCGCCACCACTGAACTATAATAACAAAACCTTGCAAATATTATTCTGTTGTGTTTCTGCCCTTCTTATGCTTCAATAAATTAGGAAGTTTCTATTAGAGCTGCTTACAAATGCTGTTTGTTGTAGGATTGAAATATTTTTTATTATTGACCTACTGATAGACCTTGCATATATATCTCCATCAGGTTTATCATTCTCACTGTACAGAAATCCTGGCTTTATCAACCAAAGCAGTCGTAAGAACTCTAGCTGCCAAAATTCAATAAGCTATTTTCCTCTTGAGAACTTCAGAGTTATTACAATTGTGTGATTAATTGGTGATGGTGATGGTGATGGTGATGATGATATGAATATAGTCCATTGTTCTCCTGTTCTTCTCCCTTTCCTTCTTTAAGGCCTAAAAATTAAATAGTGATTCTGCAACATCTTTCTAAGTCTGCTGTCTTCAAGAATATGCTAGCACTACAGTTCTTAGCATCCTGTTAAGCTTTATCATTCTAACCAGTGCTTTTTTTCTAAAAAAAAAAAAAAAAAGGTGCCGGAATTCACACACGTCATACAACCCGCCTTGCCTACCCTACAAGGTTCCATCCAAAAAGGTGCCGAAACTCCGTTCTGGGCGTTCTATGAGAAAAAAAGCCTTGATTCTAACACACTTAGAGGGCATTGGATGTGAGAAGAAGGCTGATTAATAAGTTTTCTGTAGACTTTTGTAATGCTAGACTTCGTAATTATAATTGTCATTTTATTTTAATCCAGTTGTCTTACAATTCTTAGGCTAAAATCTGCAAGAGACGTGATATCAAGAACAGGACATTCTTTGGCTCTGGGCTCTCTTTATAAGTATACGGGAGGAATCAGTTCCACTCATCATCTTACTGCATGTGTTGGAATACTTTCTACTTTATCTCAGGATAACACGTCACCTGAAGTACAGGTATGTATTGTAGATGAAGATGAAGATGATGATGATAAATGTCTAAGCAAAAAGAAGCCCTACACACATACACAACACACACACACACATAAGTTTCAATGTTTTAAACATTGGAAAAAACAAAGAGCTCATTGTCTATTTCAGAAAAGGCAGACACAGCCACACTCTGTGCATTAATGATTCACCTGTGGAGATGGTTACCAGCATCAAATTCCTGGGTGTGCAATTCACAAGTAGGCTCGCTTGGTCACTCAACAGCGAGATACTGGTGAAGTGGGCACAGCAGCGCCTGCATTTTCTCCGTCACATGAGAAAAGCACATCTTCCTTTCCCTGTCCTTACCACTTTCTACAGAGGGACGATCAAGAGCATCCTGTCATACAGCATCACAGTCTGGTTTGGAAGCATCACTGCTTCAGACAGGAAGGCGATGCAGAGAGTGGTGAGGATGGCAGAAAAGATATTGGCAGTTCCCTTCCTTCCATCCAGGACATAGCACATAAGCGTTGCTTGAGCAGGGTCTGCAAGATTGTCTGGGATATTACACATCCTCTTCATGACCTGTTTTCTTTGTTACCTTCTGGGAGGAGGCTTCGTGGTATCCGAAGCAGAACATCCAGATTCAGTCACAGTTTTGTTCCATACAGTATTAACCTTGTGAACTCTAAAGCTTCCTCCTTCCGTTATGTATTCAAGATGGACAGTGATTAATATTTATATGTTACTTATATGTAAGGGTGTAGATCTATACACACGTTGTATATAGTATGTTTAAATGTGTGTCATGTATGTGTACACTTTGAGAGCAAGCAACTAAATTTTATTTTTAATGTGTGCCATTGTGCCCACAGTAAAAAATGACAGTAAAGGTTATCTATCTATACACACACACACAATTCATTTCCTGTTCTATGGAATGAAAATTAACATTTATGTTGTCTTATTCAAAAAATACATTGCAAAATATTATTTGGACTTTTAACATATTTTTATTGTTTTGGTACTTATTGGTGGCATAAAGCCTACTCGTGAGTGATAGCAGAATTGATGGCAGAAAGCCTAATCATGAGTGATAAACAATCCTCTGGCAAAGTTTCTGATGAACTATCCTTGTTTTTCCTTCTTTCTATTACCTCTTCCACAATATGGAGAGAGAGGAAAAACAACATGTGCTAGAAATTTGAATCTCAAATAATTAAGAACAGTATTTATTCCCTGAGTTGATAGTGATACAGTTGCTACTGTGACAGACACAGATGTCTCCCACATCTATACTGATGCCAACTTAGGCAGGTGTGAGTACACTGAAGGAAGATGATCTATGCAGAATAGAGCCCCCAGATGGTTGGACAACCATGTCCTAGATTGTTTTATTCTGTATATGTATTTTACATGTTATACTGTACTGTGTTGTTGGCATAGTATTTCTCACCATTTCATTTAAATGCTCTTATTGTACACATAACTTTGGTTTTTATCATACTTAGCAAATTATTTCATTTTTTTTTCACACCCATTACACATTTTTTGTGTCTGTGTCTGTGTCTGTGTGTGACAACACTACATTTTTGGTATTTTACAGACGTGGGCACTGCATTCTCTGTCAATGATCATTGATTCTGCTGGTCCTTTATATCATGTGCATGTGGAACCTACCCTCTCTCTTGTTCTTATGTTGTTGTTGACTGTGCCTCCTGCTTATACTGAAGTCCATCAAAGCCTTGGTCGCTGTTTAAATGCACTTATAGCCACTTTGGGTCCTGAGTTGCAAGGTATGCATACATCTGTAGCAAATGATAGTTAGGAGCCAAGATAATAATCATTGAGTTAATTTGCTCCCAAAATATGCATGGAAACCCATGACAAAAGCTTTAGAGTATTTGTATTTTTACAAAGTCATGCACAATCTTATTTGTCTTTCACTTGAGTTGTGATTTATCTGAGATCTTGAAATAAAGAAATGCTCTTTTTTTCCTCTTAATAGAGAAACTTCTAGTAGCCAACAGTTATTAACAAATTATTATAATTAGGAGAGTGAAGAATAAATATGAGATTTCTCAAATCAGAAGGACTCTGATCAAAGTAATTGTCCTTGTGTTCAAAGCAAAGATGGAGTACTGTCTTCTGAGCATGCATGCATGCACACATATACATAAAGACTAGATTACTAGATTATTTTGTGTAATTATAACTGAGTTGTCTACAAGAAACACTAGCGTTCTCTCACTACTCATAAAATATTGTTTTACATGTGGAATCCTTGCTGTTCTCTGAGCTTTGTTGTTTGCTTGCAGATATTCATTATCCATCTAGGTGACATCATCAGTTTTAGTCAATGTGGAGTTTACTCTTTGTTTAAATACAGTAGCTTTTGCCCAGCCATGTTGGTGAGGGTATGGGTTTTCTCCTCAGTAATTCCTTGATTAGGGTATTGTTTTCTGCTTGTTTGTTTCCTGTTAATCCCTGCTTATCTGGGTGTTGAATGCTGGAGAACATGAGTTCTGGTCTTTTTGTTTCCTTCTTAGCTTTCTTATTGTCTCTTTTGAGTGCTATGTAAAAGTGGTTTATCTGTATGTGCCTATTGATGGCTGATTTGTCTGAGTGCCAAGCTTCCAGGAATTCCCTAACATTTTTGGGCCTAGAATGTTCTCAGTGTCCCAATTGAAACTATGATTGATTCTGCCAACGTGCTGTGAAATTAAGGAGTTCTTGTCCTGTGTTTTGACTGCTAGTTGGTATTCATGGATGTGCTCTGGTTTATTTAAGAGCTTTTCACTAGCACTGATGATATTATCTAGTTGGGTAATGAAATGTCTGCAAGCAAACAACCAAGTTCAGGGAGCACCAAGGAGCCCACAGTTCAATCCTGAACTACATATATTCCCTTCTTTTGATATCCTAGAGGTGCTGTGGAAATAAATGTACATTTTTTTTTTAGTAAAGCATGATCTAAGTAGATTTTAAAAACATGTTAATAATTTGAGGAACGTCATTATTGTAGTTTGGTTTTTATTGTTTTGAAATGTTCTTTGACTAATGAACATTTGCCTTATTTGCCTTATGTGTAGGCAGCAGTGCTGCAGTCTCAGCCTTAAGGGCATCCTGTCTCCTTGGCTGCGCAGTGATGCAAGATCATCCTGACTGCCTCGTCCAGGCTCAAGCTATCTCTTGCCTTCAGCAGCTTCACATGTTTGCTCCTCATCACGTAAACCTGTCTAGTCTTGTAAAGTGCCTTTGTGTAAGTATATAATTACACAACTATATGACTCTATAGTTACATAGGTATGTTATAAATCTTTTTTCAGTGTTATTTGCAACTTTAGAATCAGAATGTTCAAATTGGGGTTTCAAAGAATAGCGGTTGGTGTACCTAATTCAGCAGAATATTTTGAAATGATACAATCCATTGCTTTCAGAAATGTGAACATAAACTTTATATTAGCCAAGTCTCATGATTGATTTTAGCACAATATCACAAAATGACCCTCTACTTTGCACATGTGTATAGTGGTGTGTGTGTACGTGTGCATGTGCGCATACTGATGTCCATGTAAAACATATATGATATGAGTGTTGTTTCCTAGTTGAATGAACTAAATTAGTTCAGCTCATTGAGAGGAAGGTAGGGAAGAGTGCAAAGTATTCTGAGAGAGAAGGAATATAATTCCTTATGATATTCCATGACTCTTTCCTGCTTGCCTAAGGACAAAGGTAGGCTTATAGCAGGTCAGCTGGTTTCGGTAGGAGTAGGATTATTATTCTCTGCTGGTTAAAAAGCGGGATGTTAGTTTCTTGACTGATCTGCTAACTGACTAGAGAATTAGTTTCTACATTGTTTCCATCTCCTATTCTCTCTTTTTCTCTCTCTTTTACATACACACACAAACACACACACACCGCACACATACAAAAACACAATCATGCACATATGCATAAGTGCAATGGGAAGAAGACAAAGCCACTTTTCAGTACCGCATTACAAACTCTCCACCAAGCAGTCTGTGAATTTTCACTTCTTAAAGTTGGTGAAATCCTCATTTTCAATTCCGCTTCTGGAATTAATTTACCAGTTGGTGAAGGACATTTTGTACCAGTCTCATGAGTAGAGAGAGAAAATAAAAAAAAAAAACAGGATCAAGAATTCTGCCAAATATTTCTAAGAAAATACATTTTCTAAATATAAATTGCTAGACATGGAATATTTTTTTTGTTTTAATTTATTATTTATTTATTTGTATCTTGCCTTCATTATTTTTACAAATAACTCCAGGTGGCAAAGATATTTAACACATCTTCCTCATTCTTTTTTCCCCATGAGAACAAACCTGTGAGGTAGGTTGGGCTGAGAGAGAGTGATTTGCCCAAAGTCACCCAACTGGCTTTTTAAGCTAAGGCAGGACTTGAATTCACTGCCTCATGGTTTCTAGGCTGATGCCTCAACCACTGTACAAAACTGGCTTAATACATGAGAAATTCAGTGTTCTGATTATGACAAATATTAATTCCATGAAATTGAGTAATTATAATTCAGCAAATTCATACAACAGCCTTCCTGTGAAGTTTTTTGGGGAGGTCGCAGGGGCTAAGTATGGTGAAATGTAAATTATTAACAGATTTAAATATGGGAGATCAAACATTCACTCATTTCCTTAAAAGGGTTCTTTATACAACTTTTTTTGTATAAAAAGTTGGCCTGTTGGATAGCAGAAGGAAAATGTTATTAGGTGTTGATATATCTGTATAATCCTATGGGGGAATACAAGGGAGTGGATGCTTCTCAAAGAGGTTTGGAAATAATATAGGTAGTCCTTGACTTACGACCACAATTGAGCTCAAAATTTCTATTGTTAAGCAAGACAGTTTTTAAGTGAGTTTTGCCCCATTTTATGATCTTTCTTGCACTGTTTTTAAGTGAATCACTGCAGTTGGTAACTGTAGTTAATAACAAAGTTGTTAAGTGAATCTGATTTTCCCATTGACTTTGCTTGTCAGAAGGTTGCAAAAAGTGATCACATGACCGGGGACACTGCAACCATCCTAAATACAAGTCATTTGTCAAGTGTCTGAATTTTGATCATGTGACAATCGAATGCTGCAACAGTCATTTGTGTGAAAAATGCTCATTAGTCACTTTTTTCAGTACCGTTGTAGCTTGGAATGGTCACTAAACACATGGTCGTAAGTCAAGGACTACCTGTATTGCCTACGCTAGCATGGGAACCAATAGTGAATACTTTTGCCATCACTGCCATTTAAAGCATTGATATTGCGAGTATCAAACTGAAATTAGTGCTTCTTGAGCTACGGACTAATTCTGAAGTTAAATAATATTAAAGAGAAAAAAATATATACTAGTGATTTTAAAATAAGCCTTTGGAGAAGTGATCATCATACTTTTCTACTAAACTTCATGATGATGAGGCTATTTGTTTAGCTCTGGTTTTGGAAAGGTGTAACCGTCAATATTAAATACTTTTGAATGTATTATCCAACATTATAGATATAAATTACAGTTTATTATTTCCACCTGATTAAATCTGCCACTGCTGATGTGAAATTGGCCCTTTTATATCTGAAGCCAATGAATTTTCATCATAGGGTGATTTATGTTTTTAATATTAAACAAAAAGTACATAGGCTCCAGTATGGTTTCAAATTAGTACTTAATATTTGGCTTTGAACAACTTTTATAATAGCATTCTTAATTTTAAATAAAATATTAAGTAATAAAGCAATAATAAGCAAATATTTTATTACTGCATTATTGCAATAAAGTGATGCAGTAAATTTATTTTGTATTGCTGAAGTTCAGGATCACTGGATTCTAATATCTAGCTTTTATCATGACTGGATTATCATTTGTTTTTGTGCAGGAGATCTTGTTGGAAAATTCTGTGTTGGTAGGTCTTTGTGCATTGTTAACACTTCAGCAATGTTCAGTCTGTGTGTGTGTGTGTATTTTATTTTTCCTTTATTTCTATAGTTAACCATTAATGAAAAATAAAATATTTTAGCATGTTGGGTGATGTGTTGTTTGAGCTGAACTAAATTCTCTCTTAACATCTTTTTACTGTAACTGGCATTCTAACTTTGTGTGTAATTTATTTTTGCCTTATTTTAATATAGCATATTAAGTGCAAAAGGAGTGAGTTTCAATTGTCTGTATGTGTGTATAATTTGTCTGTATTGCTTGCTTTTTCTGTGTTATTGTTTGCTTTTTTTCCTTTTTAAAATATGAAGAATGAAATAAATTGGAAATGTGCATTTTGTATTGTCTTGCAGTTGAGCTTTATTTGTTCTGGCTTTTTCATGTAAAAGCAGAAGATTTTTTAAAAAGCATGCCTAAATCTCAACGCAGTGAAACATCAGCTTAAATAGATGTATAAAATATTTATGTTTATTTAAATTGTTAATTTTCAGCTTATTGGTATATTTCGGTTTTTTAGAAATGTGGGAACATATTTTTGTACGTATTAAGCAACTTCTTTACATTGGGGTGCATGTAACAAAATGTAGAAAATTAAATCACATTTCCTTTGATTATCAAATTGTGATTTTGTAGTACCTCCTCTTAGAGCCTGCTCTAACTCCTTTTGCCTCTCTTTCACGCTAATGATGTCTCAGTAACCAGCACTGGTTATTGTTCATTGTCCAAACAGACACCTTTGCATGAGACACTCGCCTTAAAGTTATTCATTTTTGACTCTTGCATATCAAAAAGAAAACTAACAGTAATAGTTTCCTATTCACTAGTTGTTTCCTCCATTCTCATTTTCAGCACATAGATTCAATCCTGAAGAGTGATAATTTTAATGTTGTTTAGATATTCAGATATTCAGAAAATGGAGTTACTATTACTCAAGAGTATTCCTGAGGATTTATTACATAATTGTCATAAGGTGCCACCTATGTAGGGCAGACAAGGAGGCAATTCTCAGTAGTGGTCCTTGTTATAGGATACACTACCTCCCCCCCTTGGTACACCTTGGCCCTTCTTTTCTGGATTTTCAAAAGTGGTTGGAAACTGTAGTATTATATCAGGACTCTGGCCCATTATGAGGACTTGTGAGTGATCCTGTAATATTATATTATGATCTGGTAGGCCACTTAGAGCTTTTTAAATTCAGGTGAGAGAGATATATATATATAACATACGATTTATAAATGCTATTGAAAAAATAAATAAAATAAGAATAGCATTAGTGCATTTAAGTTAATTAAATAAAATAATTCATTTCAATAAATTATTTGGTAAATTAATAAATGTTAAAAATAATGTTAACACAGCAAGATCAGGCAGCCTATTCTAAAAGGAGAGTTTATGTTGTCCTGTACTTTGATACATACTGTATCCTTTGTTAGGTTTTTTTTTCTTTTTGACACAAATTAAAAATGTAGTAATTTTCATGAACTGTGTATTAAAGTAAAACTTGTTTAACAGTTAAGGGAGTGTCTATTAAATTTGAACAGTCATTAGCTCAAAAGTTTACCATATGAGGGCAAAACACACACACTCGTACATGAAAAAAGCCAACTTCAATTAATGTTACTTATTCATGCATTTAGCAGTACATGAGAAAACTAACTACACCATGCTTAACTTTGTTTTTAGCACATGAGAAATGTATAACATATTTATTGGAAGAAAGGAACCTTTCAATTTTAATTTATTCTTGGAGACAGATTATGTGATTATCTCCTAATGAGTTGTAAATTGGGCTAATGAGATGGAACTTCCAAGTTCAGAGGAGGAACCAGTGAAAGATATCATCAAAACAAGCCCTAAAAACCAATACAGTAACCTGATTTTACGGGTTGACGGTTCTGTCTCCCCAGCTACATCACTCTTCCTTTTTGCCAGCCATAGCTTCTGCTGCTCTTTAATAATAATAATGATGATGATAAAGTTGGAAGGGACCTTGGAGGTCATCTAGTTCAACCCCCTGCTCAGGCAGGAAACCCTATACCATTTCAGACAAATGGCTGTCCAGTTTTTTCTTAAAAACTTCCATTGTTGGCGTCTAGATTTTTCAGTCACTCCTGACCACTGCAAGACATCATTCTTTGCGGCTTGCTTTTCATTAGCTTTCTGTATTTGGCAATCACTAATTTCAGATCCAGAGTCTTCAGGTCTGCACCCATATAGTAAAGCAGGATTTTCCCCCAACTGTTTGCAAATGTAATGTTGATGTTTTTCTAAGCTGTAGTTGAAGGTTGAATATTAGTTTTTAAGATTTGGGCTGGGTATGTGTCTTTATTACTTTCATATTCTAATATCACCTTTTTCAAATATCTCTTCCTATTCATTAGTCTGGGATGATTAATGTATTTGGGAGCAAAAATATGCAATTTTATTTTTCAACCATTGTGCACATTTTTAATGCATAAGTAGGAACATCGTTAAGAGTGAGGAGAATCTCAATGCTTTCAGTGATGTTTTTAGTATCTCATTTTGATATCTTCTGATGCATAATGACTGAAGAACCAGTGTTGAAAAATGGTGATATAATTATGACTTTTAAAATTTATGTTAAATGACTGTTGATGCCCAACGTCTTACAACAGTCTTGGACAACACAGCTGTTCATCTGCGATGGTAGTTGTAAATCCACCCCACCTTTCATACATATACATGTAGTCCTCAATTACAACCATTTATTTAGTTTCAACAGCACTGGAAAAAAGATGTATGACCATTTTTCATACTTAACGACCATTGCAGCATTAGTCATGTGATCAACATTTGAACGCTTGGCAACTGGTTTATATTTATGACGGCTGCAATGTCCCGGAGTCATGTGATCCCCTTTTGCAACCTTCTGACAAGCAAAGTCCCATGGGAAAGCCAGTTTCACTTAACAACCATGTTATTAACTTAACAATTCCAGCGATTCATTTAACATCTGTGACAAAAAAGTCATAAAATGGGGCAAAACTCACTTAAAAACTGTCTTTCTTAACAAAAGAAATGTTGGGCTCAATTCTGGTCATAAGTCAAGGACTACCAGTATAAGTAGATCTAAAAGAACTGCAAAAGAGATAATCAGAAGAGTTCTAGAACTGGAAACCATCTCAGTTTGTCATTGTTGTAGTGATATTGCCAAACCCAGGTTGTTCCTTAAATACCAGCAGCCTTTGGTCTTTCCAGAGTATTGCTGGCTGTTAATAGGTCTGGCTTCCTCCAGCATGGGAAGGCCTGCCCTTCCTTTTCCAAGACAACATGACAAATCTTTCCAGAACAGTGGTTTGTTCAATCAACTCTTTTCTGCCAGAAGCCCACAATTTACAGCAAGTTTTTGGAAAGGACTAATGTAGTACAGTGTTAGATGTAAAATCCCACTTCTGCCTATCGTCCACAGCTGGATGAAAAAACAACAACAGGAAAAAATCCACTTTACATTAATACCATTGTTGTTATCTAAACCACCAGCAGGAAAAAACAACAACAGGAAAAAATCCACTTTACATTAATACCATTGTTGTTATCTAAACCACCAGCAGGTAAATTGCCTGATCTTTTTACTGGCTGAGTTTACTTAGAGTAATTCAGACTTTGAATCAGATGCTGCCATTTCAGGCTATTTATAGATATTTGTACCTACTAAAAAATACTTCTCAGGCCAGGGCTTTGCTTGCATGTTCTCAATAAGCTTTAAGCTGCTCAAGCAACTCTGTAAGGACCAACTACATTATGCTAACACCTCTTACAAATGTCTGTGTTCTGTCTTCTGCTGAAACTCACATCTGGCTTTCATTTGGTTTTCTTCTTGGTATATAATGATCTAAGACCGGCTGCCGTGGTTTCTTCTCAGTCAGTCCTGTGGACTTTCTACCATAGCTTCTAGGCACAATTAAAACGTTTTCCAAAATCCCCTAATAGTCCTGGAATGTCTCCCCCCTCCCCCCACCTCTTGTATCTTTGCTGCTTTTGCCTTGCATACCTCTCTCTGGGAGGAAGGTAGAATATATTTTGGACTCTCAGCATAGGAGGGACAACCTGAAATCTTTTACTTCATTAGGAGATCCATCCAAACATTTCGCACTCTTTGGAAGCAGAAAATAATATCCATGTGGCGAATATCTGTAGCTTGGGTGTAAGATGATGGTGAAGTTCTTCCGAACTTGTGGGTTGGTTTCCGAACAGTTCGTTACCAGCCTCTTTCATTACCAGCATCAGAAGCCTCTCTCTGATGATTCATCACAAGACCCTCACTTGACACATCCACACCTGAAGCCTTATAAATAGAAGAACACTGACACAGATGTTACCTAGCCTGGTAACGAAATTTTGGAAACCAACCCACAAGCTTGGAGAACGAACCTTCACCCTCATAATATCCATGTGTTATATCTCTTCCAACTGTCCCATTTGTAACATCTTCACAAATCCAAGTTTCCACCTTTCCAGCAGTTCTCAGGAGGAAAGAGACTTTTTTTTAGGAGAGAGCAGGAAACAATTGTGTCATTTCTAAGAGAAACAAGAATTCCTGAGGATGAGAAAAAAGTGTTCTGGAATGGAGAAGTTCCTGATTAAAAAAAAACATGGAAATGCCCCTACTTTCTGTACTTCTTTGTCAAAAGGAGGTTGGTGAGTGGAAGAGATGCTTGAAAGCAAAATTCCTTGTCAGCTCCAACTAATAAAGAAACGGGGGTGAAAAGAAGGGCAGAATACTTTCTTGTTTTCTATGACGAGAGATTCGGAGAGGGAGGATGATAAAATAGAGGTGTTGTAAGGTGTGATACAGGTGAGGCAGGAACAAGTGGATCCCAGGGTAGAAAGGCCCCTCAGGTAAACTTTATATCACCTTCCTCCCACTGTGTAAGGGCTAAAAAGAATAAGGTAGAGCCAATGATGCTAAGTCCATTCAGCCCAATGCCTGGAGTTTAAAATCTGGAATATAGATCTAGAAATGCTTCTGAGTTACTTGTTTAAGACATTATACTTCTCTGCATTGAACGTTGTAGGATACAGGTAGCCCTCAACTTACAACCACAATTGAGCCTCAAATTTTCATTGCTAAGCAAGGCAGTTGTTAAATGAGTTCTGCCCCATTTTACAACCTTTGTCACAATTGTTAAACAAATCACTGCAGTTGTTAAGGGAATCATGTAGTTGCGAAACAAATCTGGCTTTCCCCATTGATTTTGGCTGTTCTGTCCAGGAAAACACAACTGTCATAAATACATGCCAGTTGCCAAGCGCCTGAATTTTGATCACATGACCATGGGGATGCTGTAACAGTCATAAGCGGTCATAAGTTTTTTTTTCAATGCCATGGTAACAGTAGTGCAAACTGTCACTAAATGAATGGTTGTAAGTCGAGAACTACCTATAGCTGAATCATGCCTGGGAATCTTCTGCCAAGTCTAACCAAGAGCTAATTAAGAGTTCAAAATCTGAAGAGTTACTGTTGAATGTGCCTATGAATGCCAATAATAAGGATGCCATCTGGTTTATTAAATTTGTTTCTTGTATATACTTTTCAGGTGAATCTCTCTAGTTCATATCTATTATTGAGACGTGCAGTTCTAGCTTGTTTGCATCAGCTTGTGCAGAGAGAGGCAGTTGAAGTATCTGAACATGCAGTGGCCCTCGCTAAAGACAGTAGAGAAGAATTTACTCCAGGTAATACTGAGCTTTTGAGGTTACTTTTTTTTCCAGATAGACCATTGCAGTATTTGTATTTTTCACTCTGTATACTGAGGAACACTTCAGACCTGCTCTAAGCAAACAGCCTATAGTAATGTTTCTTAATCTCAGCAACTTTAGGTTATATATGCTGGCTGGGCAATTTTAGGAGTTTAAGTCCACAATTTTAAAGTTGCTGAAGTTGAAAAACACTGACATATAATCCATTTGTCACACGAGCTGAAATCCTCTTGGCAACAATCTTTCTTATTTTCCTTCTCATTTCCACTTTTCACTTTTCTAACAGGTTTTCCTTGGAGAATCACTCAACCCCAAGAACAGGAAAATGAAAAAAAAAAGAGAATTGTCTGTTCCATTGATAGAAAATATTTTACCAATAGAGAAGAGTATTGGGTTTTACCCATCATATAACAAATCTTTAGCACAGCAGAAACGGGCGATATGATTTCTGCCCGACATCAGAAATCCACTGTTTATATAAAACAATTATATTTCAAGAAGAAATATGTGAATTGCTCATTTTGTCTATAGTTCCATCATAGATACTATTCTGGGGTATCCTTCTTATTTACTAGTTTGAAATATGTGGGCTATGTTATATATGAGGAAGTCAAACCTTTAATTTTTATCTATATTTCCCCCCCCCCCAAAAAAAATCAGAAACAAGATATTACCAATTTGTAAATTTTGCTGGTTTAAATTACAGTGTAACAAATTCATAATTTGTGTTTGGCTGGAATTTTTCAGTCTGCATGTTTTCCTGCAAAGTATTGACTGATTATGTGATATCATCAATGTCAGCTTTTAGCAACCATATAGATAGACTTTCTCCCGGATGATCTGTCACCAGTCTGGCCCTTAAGATTCTCTAACCGTGTACCCATCATCACTGTAATCAGGCCCACCACCCTTGCTGTTGGTCATCTTTTTCTCCTTCAGCCCAGTATTATGAACTTCTCAAGGGAGCTGTGTCTTCACATTATATCTTCAAAACATGATAATTTGAGTTTGGTTATCTGCAAAATGTACTTGTATGAGTGTGTGAGAGATACGTGTGTGAGAGAATGAATGAGTATTTACCGTAAAAGAATGTAAGAGTAATCCCCATATTATATTTTCAAACAAAGGAATAACTTGCAGGAATGCATTTCTCACTTCAAGTTGCAGCCTGGGCTGAAACTTGCATGGTTTGTTGAAACAGCAACTTTATCCATGACTTAATTTCTGCTAGAAAATAAATAAAAATAATGGAGTAACTACAGGAGTGGGGAGTTACTGAAAATAAACCACAGTAGCAATAACAAGAATTTATAAAACAATGCTTCATTTGGAATATGTCACCAGTATTAGTGCTGATTTGTGGCCTGGTGTTTAGATAAACAGATCAGCATAATCCTATTATTATTTTTCTGAAATATGTGCTTTATGTCTTTTGTCATTATCTCATCTAGATACTAAAAGAAAGATAATGTATGGAGCTGGCATTAATCAAGAAAACACAACCAAACAGCCTCATAGAATTTTTAAATATGTCAATTTAAGATATTGTAGTATTTCTAAACAAAGCTGAGCTTTTTTGATGGTACAGAGTCACATTTTTAAAGGGTTTTTTTAAAAAAAAACAATACTAGGAAATATTTGAGTAATACTTTAGCCAGGTAAGTAGCTAAGGTTCTGCAATTCTTGTTTAATTTTGGGATTATGGATAATAGAAATATTAAATCAGCATTGTTCCAAAGGTGCTATTTCCAATTGGACTTTCTTGTTGTTTTTTCCTTTGAAAAGGTTTTTGCTTCTCATCCAAGAGGTTTCTTCCATTTAGAAGCTTCTTGGATGAGAAGCAAAATGTTTTCAAAGGGAAAAAAAACAAGAAAGTCCAGTTGCCTTTTGGAAAAAGCACTTTTGGGATAACCCTGACCTACAGTAGATGATTGAGAATCTCCATAGACGTTAAATCAGCAGCTATCTTCTAAAACAGTATCAAAATTATTTTATTACAGTATGTAATTTTGAAAGCTTTCAATTGCAATAATTCATTATTTGATTTGAACTGAAATGTGCTGATCATATTCATTTTTTTTAATTTAAAAACGCAGTTGTTAATATAGGTGAAATAGGCCTTGAAGGAGCTTTGCTGAGCTTGTTGGACAAAGAATTGGACCCAAAACTGTGCCAAGATATCAGAGAAACTCTGACTCATATGCTTATATCAATGGCTGTTGGAAAACTCTCCTTTTGGCTGAAACTCTGCAAAGATGTTCTGGCTGCTTCTGCTGGTATGCATACCTTCTGCCCAGAATGGCATCACACTATTTTCATCAGGGAGGAGAATAATCCAATCATAGAAACATAGAGTTAGAAGAGATCTCAGGAGACATTTATTCCAATATCCAATATTTCAAAGGTCTCACAACTAATTTTGGATATAATAAAGTGATTTTGGATATACTGTAATGTGATTCATAAAGTCACCTAATTTGGAGGATTATAGAAAGGAAGAAAGAAGCCCTAATTTTTTGGCCACTAGGCACTTGAAATAATGTCTGCCTTTAGCAGCCTGTATGGATGCCAACATCATTATCAGGGCCCCGCTTTTACATGATCCTGGTCTTATCATGAAGACAATGGAATGGTTCTTTTTGGTATGCTATCTAAATGGTGCTAATTTTTTATCGTAAGGCTTCCTAATATTTTTTATCATCAGAAGAAACAGTTACATTGTAGGGGAGCATAGCAACTGAAATATATTTCCCTTTCTCATTCATTTGCCTCTCCATTTCCTGCTTCCTTCCACATCTGGTTGGTTATTCATCCTGACCTTTTCATGGTTATGACTTCACCTTGCTGTTTTAACTGTGTTACTGAGCTCAGTAAACAGTTTGCTTTCCACTTTGTGTCTTAATGCAGATTTTACAACTGTAGCTTCAGTGGATACAAGCCAAGAAGAAGAGGGTACTCTAGTAGATGATGAATTGGCATTAACGTTGGCAAAGAAGGATAAATTGCACCCATTCCCACATCCCCGATGGTCTACTAGAGTTTTTGCTGCAGAATGTGTTTGTAAAATTATCACCCAATGTGAGAATGCGGGCAGTGCTCATTTTGACATAGCTTTAGCACAGGAAATGAAACAAAGGGACTCAAGAGGTATGTGCTGATGTTGACTTAAATTTAATCAACTGGAAAATATCATGGAATTCCAAGCACAGATAAATTTAATTTTGATAAATAATCATTTTCATTATCATTTTTATCACAATTGACAAGAAGTCTGTAAGCTTTTAGACATAAATTGCTACTACGTTGGCTCAATGAAACAATTCTGTTAAATATTAACTGTTGAAGCACTTCTAAAGACAAAGGATGGACTACCCACCTATTTTGTTACAGGTTATAATTTTTACATTGCATGATGCAGTTTATTATTTGTATGTGTCGCTGTCTTTGGACATACATGACAGCTCTGTATATTATATGTGAACTATATTATATGTGAACTATATTACTATGCTGAATGTAATCTTAACATACAAATCGCAGATGTATAGACTCTACACAGAAGTTTGACAATTTACAGTTGTAATTTTTGATTTAATGGCACAGCCAATTCTAACGTTCAATATAGATGGGTAAGAAAATACCTTACACTGCTGATAAGCTTTTATATCAATGTACAACTTGATACTTTCAGAAAACACAAAAATGGAATATCATCCATTGGTGATGCTTTGTAAGTGTTGCTATTCAAAACATACTATTCTTAGGACGGCTAGCCCGATCTTCCCACTTAAATATTATCAATTCCCTTTTAGTTTTTAAATATGATTCTATATATATTTTTTCTCCCCTTTTCCCTCTTCGTTCTGAGCTTTAAAATCCCAGACTTTCCTTCTAGGGAATCTGATCAAGACTTCCAATTATTTTGGTTGGCCTGTTTTTGCCATTTTTTCCAGCTCCACACTAGTAGCTCTTCATGATTATCAGAACAATGTGCAATATGCCAAGGATAGGAGGACAATTGCATTATAATTTTTTGTTGGAGTGCTAGTGTACTATCAGTTGCATTTTTAGTTCCTTTGAAAATGATTCTAAGCATGTCTTTTCTAGCCTGAACCAACACTGCCTTTTCCTGCATTGACCATTGTCTTCAAAATCCCTTTTATGATTTAATCCCTTTTTAGCTCAGGGCCCATTAATATGTAAAGTTTGAATTTTTATGTCAATGTACATTGCCATGCCTATATTTATGGAGGAGGGGTGTTTAAGCAAATTCACCCAGTTATAAAAGTATACTTTGTAACACTTTGGAATCCCATTTTCATTGCATTATATTACCCTGAACACATTGGTATGATCAATAGAGTTCACTATTATCCATAACTCCAGTTTATAAATTTAAAAAATATTGTTTCTACACCAATCTCTAGAAACGTCACCTTGAATATCTCTTCAAGTTTGAAAATTCTCCATTTAGTCCTGCTCTTCTTTTCTTATTATAGGAAAGGAATAGGTAATGGGCATAAATAATTTAAAGTACCAGAATTTAATAACATTAATTTCATATTTTCAAAACAGCATTTCCTTTTTATCACATACAGATGATTTCTTGGTATTATATTTAGCTGACTTAATTCGTATGGCTTTTATGGCTGCCACTGATCACAGCAACCAACTTCGTCTTTCCGGACTTCAGATGTTGTTAATTCTTATTCGAAAATTTGCTGCTGTAGTAGAGCCAGAATTCCCAGGTCATGTAATACTGGAGCAATACCAAGCCAATGTAAGTAAATCTTGAGAGGAGTTTGCCGAAAAAGAAATATCATATTACATACTATCGCTTTTTAGTATTTAAGGCAACAGAAAATAACATTGCTAATGTTTTAAAATTGGCTGTTTGATTATATGCCACAAAATGCATGATAAATCTAAATGAGTTTTCTTTGGAAATGTGCTGGTAATTCTATAGCATAAAAATGGATGGATATTTAATCACTGTTATTATTCCACATTCTCTTATAACTATTTTAAGGAAGTAAATTAGCTGTGTATCATTTTATCAAATCATTTTTTTTAGGTTGGTGCCGCTCTTAGACCAGCGTTTACACCAGAAGCACCACCTGATGTAACAGCAAAAGCATGTCAGGCAAGTTTATTTGTTTCTCCCCACTGCTTCTACTGACTCCTCCTCCTCCTCCTCCTCCTCCTCCTCCTCCTCCTCCTCCTCCTGTCTTTAAAATGTAAGTGTCAAAGTCTTGGCCAATTGCAGATAAAACATGATAATGGCAATGATGAAATATTTGTCTCATAAGAACTAGGATCACCAGGTCAGAGAAAGGATTTTTAGGCCACATATTCATATACTTTTCATTGTCTTTATTGCTATTCGTTTTTAGAATTATTTCTAATAACTCCTTTGTTCAGTTCATTTGTAGATGTTATTAGTTTAATCTGCTTAAAGGAATTATAATTATGATTTTATTTTTGCATTACTTACTGTATTTATCACATTTAAGAAATACCCATCTCCCTCAAGGAAGGATTATATATTGGAAAACTTTATAATAAATAAATCAAAATGTCTGAACATAAGATAATTTACATGCATGCTCTGTAGCATTGCATTAGAAATAACAAGCAATACAGATCAGAGCAAATAACCCATCTAATCCGGCATTTTATAGGCTTGGTAACCAACTAGAATAGGACATAAGACAAGAGGATAGCCCCACCCATATTTCAGTAACTAATATAAAAGAGTTTATTGCACTAGAGAAAAAGTAATCACATCATTTGGTATTGTAGGTTTGCAGTGCTTGGATAGCAAGTGGTGTAGTAAATGATCTTAATGACCTTCAAAGAGTTCATCATTTGCTTGTGACATCCTTGACAAAAGTACAGGCTGGAAAAGAAGCACAAAATCAACTATACAATGAAGGGACATCTACTATGGAAATACTCGCTGTACTAAAAGCTTGGGCAGAGGTATTTTTTAACAAAGATGGTTTCATCAGTGCTTTGGAATTAATAGTTATGGAAAAGAACTGTGAATTTAAAAACTGGAATTACAGGTTGATTTCTTTTCAAACTAGGCATTTTACAGTAACTTTCTTAGCTAGAAATTAATGTTAACATAATAATTTTATGAATTAAAGAACTTTTTTTGAGTGAAGTACGTTATCTACTATTTGTTCTCAAGTTGGGATAATAAATGCGTGCTATTTTTAATAGGTTTAAATTTATATAAATTATCTATTATATGCAATAAAATGTTGTTTTGACATTAAATGTATGCAGAATAAATTAAAGCCTTTTATTGGAAACACAATTCTCTTGGCCTTTGTCCAATAGTGTACAACAAAAGAATAAGCACTTTTATTGTTTTCAGTTTGTTACAGAAGTCCTAGTCCTGCTAACAGAGAAAACAATATCCTGGATCTTTTCCAATTTTTTTTATTCTGGCATTACTTATATCGGTGTTCATTCTTCTAGGGACAGGCATATTCAACCTGTCTCAGAAAAAAAAAGAGAAATAGTTGGACTCTCTCTGTTTCTAGCTGGCTGCCTTAACCATTACACCAATCCAGCTTCTTGCTTTGTCTAGCAAGATAGAAACAATCCAGCTCCCTTGAGCATGAATTAATTCTTTTATTGTTATTAATATTAGAAACTTTTGATACTAGTTTTTGTAGCTAGGTGTACTACCAGAATGCAAGCAAATCATAACTTCAGGAAAATCAATAAACAGTTTGAAAGCAATAACTTTTCTCTACTATTGCTTACCAGCAGCTAGCAATCTAACTGGTGTTAGTTTTTTATATCCAATTTTTTATTTGATAACAACTTTAAAGTTCCATTTGCTCTTCTTATTTCAAACAGGTTTATATAGTTGCCTTACAAAGACAAAAGAAACAAAATTACCTCAATAGTCCACCATTGGTTAAAAACATTTCAGAGGAAAGTTTCCGGGATCCATCCTCTTCAGTGGATGAACTTCTGGATTTAGTCCAAGTGGATCTAGGGAATCTGAGCAAACTCTGGCTTGCTGCACTTCAGGATTTTGCTCTCTTAACTTTGCCTTCAGAATTTGCTTCTCAACTTCCCTCTGAAGGTAAGAAGTCAAATAAAGCAAATATTTCTATTGAATCCCCTTGGCAGGTAGAGATTCTGCAGAATTTGAGCTTCATTTCCTGACATGAAGTATTGTTGCTACTACACAGAGAACAAAAATAAAATATAAAGTTTTAGAGTAATAAAAGATGTATCAACAGAAGCTGCCAGTAAGCTTGCAGAGGGAAAGCAAGGACGCTTACTGAAAGCCTATTTAAGTTTTGTTTGTTTTTCGAATGATATGAACTATGTCTTTGACTCACTTGGTTATAAACAATAAAAATATTTGGAGCAATTTGAAGCAAGCTGAATATGTATTTTTTTGTGTATAGGTGGTGCTTTCTATGCTGCAGAAACAATTGAAAATGCAAGGCCACATTATCAAAATGCCTGGGCTCAGATTCTTCATGCTACTGCATTATGGCTTACTAGCACCGGTTTTCTAGTTGGTGATTCAGATGAAGGTCTAACTAATCTTTCACGACCAGTTACTCCAACTAGTATGTGTCAAGATTCAACCTCTAGGGCCGCGGTAAAATCACCTGAAGATGTGAATACTGATAGATTTCACCTTGTTCTGGGTTAGTAAGTATGTAAACTTGTCTTTACCATATTTTTTTGCAGACTGTTTTTGCCAGGTTCACTGAAAATTGCTACATTTAAATCAAGAATGACTACACGCTACAATAAAACTGCCTTTCTGCATGGAATTAGTTCAGAAGATCCATTCTACTGAATCAGAAAAATGACTTATGAGCATGTACAACACATGCTTGTTAATTGAATTTCTGCTATTGTGTCTTATTTTTGTTTATGAAAGTTTGTATACATTTGTTAAACATTATTATTTTGACTGAATGAAGTGCAATAGAATGAGGCTAAATCCTGTCAAGATAGAGAGGCTGAATTAGTAATTCTCTGATTTGTGAATTAGGAGCATTAATGTTTCTGAGTTGGGCAGCTTTTAAATAAAAATAATAAATAACCTGCTTCTTGCAAATGTGCATTTCCTCTGAAAAATCAGGTGCATAATCTGGGATCTTTTACAACAATTAATGTAAATAAATTATAATTCTATTTATAATTACTGTAAATAGAAAGACTTTTCCAACTATATCAAAAGTCTTACCATGTTTAAAACCTGGATATCTTATAAAATATCTTTTTTCTTATTCTATCCTCTAAAACAGGGGTGTCAAACTGGCAGCCCGCAGGCCGGGTGCATCACACACAGGCCACGCTGGCCCCCAGCTCTGCAAAGGCAAAAAAGTCACAATACATAACGTGACGCTATTGGGTTTGACACCCATGCTCTAAATTGTTAAGATAAACACATTGGCTAAGTGTTTTCAGTAGGCCACACAAGAAGACCAATTTAGACACAAAATCTGGAATTTGGTGCCAACTAAGTGCTATTAGTTCATTCCAGCCATTAGTTCAACTTCATGCTACACGTTAAGTTTTTTATTCATTATTCCGATTATTCTGACTGCACTGTGGGCATTTTTAGAGAATGCCATTGACAGTAACTTTATTGTAAATTGTTTTAATTAGTGGTATCACCGTTTGCTTTCTCAGTTAAAAGTTAAATATAAATTTTATACTTTTAAATGTTATATTTAATTCATCTAATATTCTCCAACTCCATTTTTCTTTAGGAATTAGTGTGGAATTTCTCTGTTCTCCCCGGTCAGATGAAACGATGGAGAACATTACTGCTTGTCTAGATGCCCTGCAAGTCCTGCTTGAGGTTTCCTGGCCAAGAGCTAAGATTGGAAGTGATCAGGTAACATTCAAAACTTCTGAGTTAGTTCAGCTGCACATTATAAATGCTTTTGCCAAATGTCTGTAGAAACGGAACCTTCCCTTACCTTGTGATAGGGGCATAATGTGACAGCTATTTGAATAGTATCTGTGACAAAGTAATTTATGTAGGAATTGTATCCAGCTTACAGATTCACTTTCAACTGCATTTTCTTTCCTCTGTGAACAATAGGGGAGTCGATAATTTTAAGTATGGGCAGAGTATAATTAATAACCAATTAATAAACTCAAATGGGATATCTACTATATGAAGACACTTAAAAATTGATCTATGACATCTGTATCAAGAACAGCAGTTTTGATCATTAGTTATTCAAAGAACACTATACTATGCATTTCCAGTTTTGTTATGAAATATATAGTTGCATGGCTTGCAAGTTTTTTTTATTTTACTACTCTTATACCTTCAACAGATACATATTAGAGTGTTATTGTTCTGTCTTAAAATAATTCTCTGTGAATAGTGAGAAGATACTTGTGAAAAGTTATAAGTTACTTTTGGACTATGGGAAGAATTAAAATATCTCCTGTTCACGAACAGGAAAGCAATTAGGCCAAGTGTAGACAACCTACAGTATTGAGCCCCCTCTATTTTGATTTGGCTCTCTCCAATATCACGAAGCTGAAATTTGCAGTGAACAATAAAATTAATAATGGCATAGAATCCTGCAACCTTCCTCTTAAAAACTTTTTTTTTAAAAGCACAGGCTAAAAAAATTTGCCTTTGTTTTTTCTTCAGACAGTTCTTCCTTGAATGCCCACTGAACTCACTACATAGAAGATGAAAATTATTTTTAAAAGCTGTGCCTGTGCAAAGGCATGAAAGAATCTCTAACACAACGTGTGTCCTAGTTATGTTATTTTTATATTTAGTTATAATATAAGTTATAAGTCCTAGTTATATTTATTTTTATTTTATTTTTACTGAAAACATGAATTCTTCAGGTTTGAATCGAAACAGATATTTGGGGGCAATTCTCTTCCACTCATGCTAATCTACCTTAAATATACTGTATTAAAACTTAAGTAAACAGTCTGCTATATTTCCCTTATACAGGAGCTGAGTGTGGAGTTGTTGAATGTTTTACATCGACTTATACTGACCAGAGAGTCCCCAGACATTCAACTTGCTGCTCTACAAGTCGTCCAGCAGATTCTTTTTGCAACACAGGAGCACATCAAGGAAAAACGGAGAAGTGCAGAAGGTAGAGCTGTATAATAGACTTGATCAAACTTCTTACGACAGTTGTTCCATTTTAGATGAAAGAAATGCTTCATTTACTCACAGTAGCATATTTTGAATTCGTGATTTTGAATCATTTCTGTTTTTGTCTTAGATTAAAACTGAGGGTAGGATGGGGGAGGATAATTTTAGCAGAGAGTAGTTTAACAAATTCATTTTTTTACTTTCATCATTGGCTTACCTTTTAAATATAGCAAGCATTTGATAGAATGACTACAAAAGGCATTCTGTTTTTGTTAAAATTTTGTTCAATTTTTTTGTTAAAATTTTGTTAATTTTAACAAAAAGCATTCTATTTTATTCTACAATCCCAAACAAATTAAATGACGTGGCTTCTCTTATGAATAACTGTGGACATTGTAATTTTTCAAGGAACTTTAAATTGTTCAACAAAAAATTCTCAGCATCTTTACAAAATTAATTTCTAGCATTCAGGATAGATGATAACTCACTTCTTTGTAAAACACTATGTTCATAAAAGGGGTATTTTAAATAATAACAAATGATGCAGTGTCTTGTAAATGAGATAGAAAAATCTGTCATCCATGCTTTCAAATACTTTTCTGCAGCAGATTTCAGCTTTACAATTAACGACCACTAGTTGTGCCAGCACACCAGCAATCATGTGTTCATGATCTGGGTGCTTGGCAACCAGAGTGCGCTTATAATGATTACAACATCCCATAGCAACGTGATCACAATTTCTGACCTTCCCTGCTAGCTTCCCATAAACAAAATTGATAGGGAAGATCACAAGTTGGCCGGATCAGTCTGTGCCTAGTAGCAGTCACCACAAGATTCAGGACACTTATGCCGTGTTGGCCCCTTGTGCACCCTCTCTTGCCCTCCAGCAGCCATTTATCTGGCTCCCCAATCTCTTATTAAAATCCTCTGGTGATGGTACACCCACAACTTCTGGAGGCAAGCAGTTCCGCTGATTAATTGTTCTCACTGACAGGAAATTTCTTCTTAGTTCTAGGTCAGTGATGGCGAACCTATGGCACGCGTGCCAGAGGCGGCACTCAGAGCCCTCTCTGTGGGCATGCCTGCCGCCGCTGCCAGCAGCCTGTGCAGGTCCATTAGGCCACCGCTGGTACCCGGAGCGGCAGCCCCGCCCAGCACAAAGGAAGCGAAGCAGCCGGCTAGCAAGCTTGACTAGAGGTGGTAGGGCACACCCCCCACGCGCTCGCTGGCCTCTGGGTGCGGGGGCCGATGGTGTCAGGCAGCAACTGCCCCTGCCTCACCTTGCCCCACAGCAATGGCACCCCCACCCTACCCCCTGCCTCACCTTGCAGGACGAGCCTCCTGCCCACCGCCCCACCCACCAGAGACCCCTTGGATCTCCCCCAATCCTGCCCAGCCCCCACAGGCATCCCCCACACAAGCAACATCAAGGTGGCTACGCCCACCCAGTCTGCCGTGATCATCGCAGCCACACCCATCCAGTGGGCCATGCCCCCCCGCGAGGGCACAATGCTGATGCGGCCCTGGCACTTTGCGATAAATAATTGGCTTTTGGGTTGCGGTTTGGGCACTCGGTCTCTAAAAGGTTCGCCATCACTGTTCTAGGTTTTATCTCTTTTTGTTAAGCTTCCATCCATTGCTTCTTGCCTTGCCTTCAGGTGCTTTCGATTGGTTGATCCCCTCCTCTCTGTGACAGTCCCTCAAATATTGGGAAACTGCTATCATGTTACTCCTAGTCCTTCTCTTCATTGGACTAGATATTTGCAGTTCCCACAACTGTTCATATGTTTTAGCCTCCTGTCCACTAATCATCTTTGTTGCTCTTCTCTACACTCTTTCTAGAATCTCAACATCTTTTTTGTATCATGGTGACCTAAACTGGATGCAGTATTCCAAGTTCTTCTGATAGCATAGATTATTTATATAGCAGATCATCATTGTTATAGAAGAGCCATATGCATAACTCTAGATGGTGTATAAAAGATTTTTGATGCCATGGAAGATACTAATTTTGCTTTGCATGGAGATGGAATGCCTAGAATAAAAGTCTCTTTGGATGTGTAGGTTGTCCATGCTGCATCGGTGGTTATTTGTCCAACCAAATAAGAACACAGAAAACCAGAAGCTATTTAGGAAGCTTCAGAGAGGAATTTTTTTTTGTCAATAAAACATAATCTTTATCCTTGATTTCACTATAGTTGATGATGGGGCTGAAGAAAAGGAGACATTGCCAGAGTTTGGAGAAGGCAAAGATACAGGAGGACTTATACCTGGAAAGTCTTTAGTCTTTGCAACACTGGAAATGTGTGTGTGTATTCTTGTAAGACAGCTACCTCAGCTAAACCTGAAGATAACAGGTAGCCCTGGAATTACAGCTGGAAAACCTCAATTGTTATCAGAAGACGGGAATAGACTGGTAGCAGCAGCCCTGGGAATCCTCTCTGGTGTTCCTGCAGTCTGTTCACCAGAAGGTAGGATGAAATTCCACTATACATTGTATTTGCAAAAGAAACAAAGAAGCAATGTGTGAAGTGAAAAGGATATATTTAAGCCGTAGACTGAGAAGGGCATTAATTTATTTTCCTCATTTTGTGAATTGAAAGTAATTTACTAAAACAGGGACAAGAAAGTAAATTCAGACAACTTCAAGCAACTGATGTGTGCTTAAAAAAACAAACAATAAAAGGGCTTCATAAATAAAACATATCTTTTGCAATTCTGACTTAAATAGCCATCTCATACAAAGGTATTCATATGGAAGTCAACTCTTAATAATAGTAATAATAATAATAATAATAATAATAATAATAATAATAATAATAATAATAATAATAATAATAATAATAATAATANATATGCTTTAGCCTCCAGTCCCCTAATCATCTTTGTTGCTCTTCTCTGCACTCTTTCTAAAGTCTCAACATCTTTTTTACATCGCGGTGACCAAAACTGGATGCAGTATTCCAAGTGTGGCCTTACCAAGGCATTGTAAAGTGGTATTAACACTTCACGTGATCTTGATTCTATCCCTCTGTTAATGCAGCCTAGCACTATCAGCATTATTAATTAAAATTGGTATTTATAATTCTCTTTTTTGCATGCTTATTACAATATAACAATTTGAATGAAACATAATATCATAACAGTTCTGTATACTAATAAAGGAGAATATTTGTAGCTCAGGGTTGAAATGAGGAATCTTTGGTGCTCTCTGAACTTGGTTGTTTTCTTGCAGACATTTTATTATCCAAACTAGCACCGACGATGTTACCTAGTTTGGATAATGAAACATCTGCAAAAAAACAACCAAGCTCAGAGAGCACCAAAGATTCCTCATTTCAACCCTGAGATACAAATATTCTGTATACTGTCTAGCTTCAGATTTCAGCTCTAGCTGCCATAAGCATTCCATAATAGATTCACGTCAGTGAAACCACTACTTCAATTTTACAAAAGAAGTAAAATATACTATACTCTCAATCTTTAAACAAACAACACACAAAAAAGACAAACCACACTTTAAACCCACGGTTTACTATCTTTATACAGATTAATTATAGGAGCTATCTATTGATCTGTTGTCATTTTTTCACGACTTCTTAATTATTCAGCGCTGATTCAGACAGATGGGGCTGATTACTGCATGCTTCTTTCAGTACTATTTTTTAATTTTCATATTTGAAAGTATTTATGCAGTAAAGTAGCACCTTTGAATAAGTTTAAGCCCACAATTGGAAGCTATGCTCTCCAGAGAATGAAATGTAATTTCCACCATCCTTTAGCTTGGGCCATCCTAACTGAAGTTGTTGGAGATTGTAGTCCATACACAGAAAAAATGGTGCTTTGAAAATTATTAAAGAAAAAAAGGTTCTTTTTTCACCAAAGTAGAAGAGAAATATTAGTTATTCTTTGCCAGCACTTGACATCTGAGTCAATTTTATTGATCAGTACTAATTCCAAATATTTCATACTGATCAGAGGTTGAATAAATATCAATGAGGTTTTTTATGTTAGAGTTGCAGAGTAATTATTTTTCTAAATTAATCTCATCTCAAATATTTGTGTTAGCATTAAGTTGATGCTTAATTTAGAAGTGACATTTTTTATTAAATACAACACTGAGCTTGAAATAACAGAGGTCTAATAAATGCATGATGGAACTCGTGTTTTGTTTAATGCACGATGCAAGATTTTTAACAATCATATTTATACTGTGCATTTGCTATATCCTTCAGGAAGCATTGCTGTTCTTCCCACTATCTTATATCTGATTATTGGAGTCCTCAGAGAAACTGCTGTGAAGTTGTCCAGTGGCCACTTACCCATGACTGTTTCTGCATCACTGCAAGCTCTTAAAGGAGTCCTAATATCACCCATGGCTCAGGCAGAGAAGAGCCAAATGGCTTGGAATGAATTGCTCCGTAGTGCTCTGGTCACCATTCTTAATTTTTGGGATCAAGGTACAGTATAAATGGGAAGAAAAAGGTTTGCTCAGATATATGGTGTAAGTACAGTGGTGGGATTCAGCTGGTTTGCACTGGTTCGGCAGAACCGGTAGCTAAATTTTGCTGAGTTCAGAGAACCAGCTGCATGCACACTGCTTCCAGAAGTCCATTCTAGGCCTCGGAGGTCTGGAGGAGGTCTCCCAGGCCTAGAATGGCCTGCCGGAAGTGCGTGGATGCCACTTCCAGAAGTCCCTTCTAGGCCTCAGAGGCCCAGACCTGCATCCAATAAGAGAACCGGTTGTTCAGGTATTTGAATCTCACCACTGTATAAGTATAATATAGAGCATTAAGAAAATTTTTTACACTCAGCCCAGTAATATGCTACTGGGCACAAAATAATTAGCTACTGCTGCTTAAAAACAATCCTAGTTTCTTGGAGGGTGCAAGTTTCTTCTTTTCAGCAAACCTGCTCTTTGCCTCTTTCTATGCTCATAGCCTCTGCTTTGTTCCTTTCTAAACTGTGTTCACTTCTTGCATTCCCCTACAGTATTTTTTCCTGTGAATCTTAGCTTACACACACTGTGTCACAAATATTTCTTTTCCATTTTCTTTGTCTAACCTTGGCATAATCACTAGTTTCAGATTGCCTACCCTAACTGGGCTAGGTAGTCACTGTACTTTACTGGGACCTATTATTTCTTGCAATGTTGAATGTAGCAGGTTCATAACTATAGAAAAGCACAGAACTGGAATTGAGAAATCCACAAATTTGGAGAGACCCTCCCCAAATTTGTGGACTTCTCGACATTCAAGACCTATTGCAAGAAATAATAGGTCCCAATAAAGTAGTGAATAAATGTTTCTCAAAGTTAAGATTCCCAGCAACCAGTTTAATCTCTTTCACATATAGAAAATCTTTAGAAGTTTTAAGACTGAATCCAGAATTTATTAGCAGAAAAACCTAGAAAAAAATACATTTGTGATTTAAATCTGAGTATCTCAGTAATCCAAATGTTGGGTTTCCTTGTTACTGTATATGACATTCTGATTTTGTTGGATAGACTGCATGCCTGAAACAGTCCAAAGTATTTTAAGCACATTCTTTTGTCAATGGAAGTTGGCTTGATAGAAATGTTGCGCTATTAAGAATGTCCAACAGCAGTAGAAATGATAAATGCTGGAGGTTGAAATGTGTGCATGTGATTGTTCCTGAAAGTAGAAAGCAATTATTAAGGAAACAGGGGTTTTTTTATAACAGAAAGGAAATTATGTACAGGGAATAGATCATAACAATAAGTAAAGCCTGGCATCTGGCTAACCATATCCTACCAGAGAATCAAAGAGTACCTACTCAGTTTATCAGAGAAGGAAGGCAGAAAGAACTAAGGAGAAATTTCTTGATAGTAAGAACAATTAACCAGTGGAATGGCTTGCTTCAAGAAGTTGTGGATGCTTCATCACTGGAGGTTTTTAAGAAGAGATTGGAGAACTACTTGTCTGAAATGGTATAGGGAGTTAGACTAGAAGACCTCAGAGGTCACTTCCAAGTCTGTTACTTTCTATTCTATATCTCATAGAGATTTGCAATTTAATCGACAAAAGGAACAGGGAGTATACCTTTAATTCTCCACCTGCACTCCACTGCCCCCATGTGGTTAGTATAGCATGAGGACCATAACTGCAAGTTCTCAAAGTGTTACCGGAATCCTACCATTTTAAAATGTTTTTGCAGTTACAGCTTTAAGATTAAAATTCTAAGCCGTTTATTAAAAAAATCTTATTGCCTGACATTAAATATTTCAGTCATACTTTACATTTAGTCCTTGCTTAACCCCTTGGAATAAGCAACTCTTGTCACTAAGCAACGTGGTAATGAAGCAAGAGATCACCTGACAGCAACTTGTGATTTTACTGCCAGCTTCTCCATGGACTCTGCTTGTCAGAAATTGGCTGTGAAGCATGCAAATGGTGATCACATGACTGTGGGATGCTGCAGTGGTCATAAACTCCCACTGGTTGTGAAGAGTGCACAGCTTGAACGCATGAAGTTATTTTTTCAGCATTGTGGTAACTTCAGTTACTAAACAAGGCAGTTGCTAAACGAAGACTGTCCGTACAAATCTGTATTAGACATAATAGAAATAGGTAGTCCTCGATATACAACCATTCATTTAGTGACCATTCAAAGTTATAAGGGAGCTGAAAATAATAACTTATGGCCGTTTTTTCACACTTACGACTGTTAACAGCATCCCCATAGTCAATAATCAAAATTCGGGCACTTAGCAACTGGCATGTATTTATGACAGTTGCACTGGCCTGGGGTCATGGGATCACCATTGGTAACCTTCCCAAGCTGCCTTTAGACAAACAAAGTCAGTGGAAAAGCCAGATTCGCTTAACAACTGCATGATTCACTTAACAAATCCAGTGATTTGCTTAAAAACTGTGGCAAAAAAAGGTAAAATGGGGTGCAACTCACTTAACAATTGTCTTGCTGAGTAACAGAAATGTTGAGCTCAATTGAGCTCTTAAGTCAAGGATTATGTATTTGCTTAATAATATCGTATTATACAGTTTGGTTCAAAACCATACCAGAACTTGACTTTAATATTTTGATGTTATAATTAGCCTCATTTCAGATATTTTAAAATGTCTTATTATTGGTAGATGATACGGGTCAAGAATTGGATGAAAGTAGTCTGCTGACTGCAATCACTGTATTTATTTTGTCTGCAAGTCCGGAAGTTAGCACCATGGAATGTCTTCAGAGACAGTGCGTTGAGAAATTTAAATCAGCAATGGAATCTAAAGATCCCACTGTAAGTACAACTTAAATTTGTTTTGAGATTTGCTATCATTGCTATGTGCTTACATTTAGCTCTTTTCATTAAATATACATGTGCCTCCCACTACTAAAAATGAGATGGATGACTATACAGTAAATTTTCCTCTATGATTCCATCCTGTTGTTAGCCCATAGCTTTGTCAATGAAAACAACCACCTGAATCAGTCATTTGGAACTTGATTCTACTTTACACAGTCAATATATGTTGAAACTTCATCAGTGTATCTATTCTGACAATTTACTTAGGAAATCTGAAATGTCTGATTAAAAGAACTTGGGATCTTCACAGAAGTTGACATTCTGTGTCTAAAAACATTGTTTCCTCTTTTTGAATTTTTGGGAGAGATACTGAAAAGTATCACTTGATTTCTAACATAAGGAAGTTCACAAATGGAAATTTTTTCCAGACTTTCCCCCAACTAACAGATCCAGTTGCTTCATCCCATATTGTTCAGGAATGACTCCAAGGTTTTGGGAAAATGCGAGTGGTTACAAGACAGGAAGCTTGCCTTATATAAACTTCCTTATAGATGCTTATCTTGGGCTTCACATCTATATACTCTTCCTCTTGTTGTGAAGGCATCTATATAGATCTCAGCATTGGTATTTTTACTGAGGAAATAGTCTTTCCTAATTTATACAGTTAGGGGAAAAGGGTGGGGAAAGATCCTGGGATTAGCCTATATTGTTACCTAACAATCATTAATTCTTCTTTCCTCTACCGTGTCCTCTATTTTTTTTTATCTAAGGGGAGCCTGTGCAATTAACTTTTGGAGTTAACTTCAGGATTTTAACTTTAGCTAAATTGGCTTAAAACAAACTTGTAGAAACTTGTAATACTTAGTGCATTAAGTAATTATACAAATCACAGTTCACAGTAGCAGTTTTAACTTGTTTTTTTTTTTTTTTACATTTGGATGGACTATCTTTTTTAAATAGTTCTTTCTTTTTAGGTGCAACTTAAATGCTACCAGCTGCTGCTTTCCATTTTCCAGTGTCCCAACCAAGCTGTCTCATATCCTTACATTCATTCATTAGTATCTTCAGTGGTGGCCAAACTACAGGAAACAGAAAAAATTAAACCAGAGAATTCTGCCGAACTTCAAGTTGTGCAAGAAGGAATAAAGGTAGTGGCTGCTGTTGTAGCCCTTGCTGAGGAGGAGCATCGTAAGTATTCTTTGTATATTCTTTCAAAAGAATAAAACATTGCAACCTAAAACACTGTAATATTATCTGATGATTTCTAGTTAGTGGCCATATTCTACCCTTTCTGCTCTTGTAGGCCATTGCCCTCTACAAGAAAATCAGTGTTGGAAGAAAATAATGGAATCTTGCAAGTTGCAGAAGTTTAACAATCTTATGATGTTTTTTATGATGCTTTGCCAACAACAGATATGTGATTTTGCTGCAAAGTACTGTGACTGAGTGATACAGGGGCCCCAGGTTGTTTGTCCCTTCCTTAGAATTATCATTCTGAGATGCATAGCCCAATTTTGCCTATGTTTATTGATTTTGACTAGATCAGTTTTGTTGAAGTCACTGAAACAGTTTGCATCAAACACGGAAGAGTGAGTAGCTGCAGACTACAGCCAAAATCAAATATTTTTAGTGTATCAGTTTAGATTTTAAACTGCTTCCTATGCTTTTGTGAATATGGAAAAAGCACTATTTCTTGACATAAACTCTTGACAAATGTATGCATATGTTTGTATGTATTCATAATACCATGAAGAAATTGTAGTAAGATAGTCATTATAAGAATACGCACCTGAAGCAGGCCTACGCTGCTGGTTGGCCGACTTTGATTGCAACTCCCTCCCCCCCCCTCTTTTCTATGGAGGGTATAAAGATCAACGAACTACGCTACCTTCTCCCAATCCATCTAACCCCTTGACCACCACCACGAGGACTTTTCCCCTTCCCAACTCTGCTGTTGGACCTCCTTCTAAGACTTGGGACTGTATTCTAGGAGGGAACTGCTGGCCCTGCGCGACTCCCCCATCGCGCAGGCATGGCCNTGCCAAAAACACTTTACGCTTTCAACATCCAAGCCCGTGTTAGGAGCGACAGTGGTCCAGACCAGCAAAGATGACAATGATGTGGCCTTGTTGATAGAGGACAAGGAATTCCTAGAGCTCATGAATAAGGAATTCCTACAGGATGCCTCAGGGAGTTGGGTAGCCCCACTACCCTTTCGCATACCCAGGCAGCACCTGCTGAACGATCATGAGCAGGCTCTCTCTCGCCTCAACAGTCTGAGGAGAATCATGAATAGGAAGCCAGAAATGAAAGCTCATCTAGTGGAATTCATGGATAAGATGATCCAGAGCGGACATGCCGAGCTTGCTCCACCCCTGAGAAAAGATGAAGAATGTTGGTATCTACCATCCTTTGGAGTGTACCACCCACAAAAACCAGGTTAGATAAGAGTAGTTTTTGACGCCAGTGCGCAGTTCCAGTTCTCTTTGAACAAAGTCCTTCTCACAGGGCCTGATCTCACCAACAGTCTACTTGGTGTGCTCATCCGCTTCAGAAAGGAAGCTATAGCGGTCATGGCTGACATCCAACAGATGTTTTATTCATTCTACGTCAGGGAAGATCATCGCAATTACCTGTGCTTCCTGTGGTTCAGCGATAAACAGCACAGCCAGAAGATAACAGAATACAGAATGTGGGTGCACGTCTTTGGGAATGGTTCTTCCCCCGCAATTGGTAACTATGGCCTGCAACACACCGCTCGTATAGGTGAGGCTGAATATGGTGCAGACGCCAGATGCTTCGTGGAACGAGATTTCTATGTCGACGATGACCTAAAATCTGTACCCATTCCAGCAGAAGCCATGGATCTATTGAGAAGGACATGTCAGATGTTAGTGGCAGCCAACCTTAGGCTGCACAAAATCACATCCAATAGTGAAGAAGTGTTAGAGGCATTCAATCCTGAAGACCACGCTAAAGGTCTATAGGACCTCAATTTTGGCACAGATGACCCTCTCATCCAACGCAGTCTCGGTCTGTGTTGGGACTTAAAGAAGGACGTCTTCACCTTTAGAGCTCCGGCACAGAACACCATCTTTACAAGAAGAGGAGTTTTGTCTACAGTAAATAGCCTATTTGAGCCTCTAGGGTTTGCTGCACTTGTAACGGTCCAAGGGAGGCTCCTTCTGCGTGCACTCTCCCAAGGCACCACTGACTGGGATGAACTGCTTCTGCCAGAACAGAAGCAAAACTGGGAGACGTGGCATAGATCTCTAAGTTGTCTCCAAAGCATCCACATACAGCGCATGTATGTTCCCATTTCACTTGCCGCTGCAATGAAGAAAGAGCAGCATGTGTTCTCAGATGCTTTAACAAAGGCAAAAGCAGCTGCAGGAAACATCAGAGCCTATGGCGGGGAGAGCTACATCGGTTTCGCTATGGGAAAGGCGAAACTGGCACAACAAGGCCACACTGTACCCAGATTGGAATTCTGCGGTGCCATTCTGGCTGTAGAACTCACAGACATAATAACGAAAACAATAGACTTTGAGCTGCAATCCACCACCTTCTATACAGACAGCAAGGTGGTGGGCTACATCCACAACCGAAGCAGAAGCTTCTACGTCTATGTAAGCAATAGAGTGGAAAGGATCAGAAGATCTTCAAATCCTAAGCAGTGGCGATATGTGCCAACAAATCAGAATCCAGCGGACCAGGCCACACGGTCCATTCCTGCATCACAGTTGGCAGAATCAATCTTTTTAAATGGTCCTGAATTCTTGGTTCGTCTAGACAGCCAGATGACACAGAAACCAGAACATCACAAGCTTCTAGACCCAGATCAAGACGATGACGTTCGACCTCAGGTACCCAACAAATCACTCAGACAGGGCGAGAAAATGACCGTCCAGACTATCTGCTTGTCAACAAGGATCAAGGAGACAGAGAAACTGCTTCATAATCATCCCCTAGAACCGTCTCACTTAGGACGCTTTTCCAGATGGAGACCTCTCGTATTGGGCGTAGCAGCGATCGTTCGCTTTTTGTATTGCTTCCCAGACAACTATCTCCAAGCCAAGAGAGGGATTCTACGAAGTGTGCAACAAGACGCATACCCAGTGGTATTTGAATGTCTGGAAGCTAAGAAGCCTATCCCGGGATCTAATTCACTGCTGAAGTTGAACCCGTTCCTCGACAGTCATGACTTACTTTGAGTAGGGGGATGTCTAGATAAGGCTAAAATAGCCCTGAACATCAAGCACCCTATCCTTCCTGCCCATCAACATGTAACACACCTGCTGGTCCAACACTACCACAAAACTGTCCATCATCAAGGCAGGCACTTCACAGAAGGTGCCATCAGAGCAGCTGGATTCTGGATCGAGGGAGCCAAAAGATGCATCGCCACAATTTTGTACAGGTTCCTGCATTGCTGCAAACAACGAGGTGCAACACAACACCAGTTGATGGCTGACCTGCCACCCGAGCGCCTTGGTCCATCGCCACTATTTACCAACGTAGGCCTAGACATTTTGGGCCTTGGTCCATGTCTGTTCGTCAGACCAGAGGTGGACAAGCTAACAGCAAACATTGTTTGCTGTCCTTTTCATATGTCTTAGTATTCGAGCTGTCCACACTGAAGTCATCGAATCTATGGACACTTCTTGCTTCATAAATACTCTAAGAAGGTTCCAAGCCCACAGAGGCCCAGTTAAGGCATTTAGATTTGATTGAGGAATTAACTTTGTTGGAGCCTGCAAGGACTTACAGATTGACGAAGGCATTCGCCCCAACTCAGCAATTGACAAGTACCTAAAGGCCCAAAATTGTGTATGGACAGAATGATCTGGAAATGGGGGAGATAGTTATAGAGCCCTTGTCATGGTCAGATCATGCACTCCTGAGGATGGACTTCCGGACCGCTGCCCCTCGCCGCAGGGAGACGGAACCGCCGAGATGGTTCCGTCCCAGGCTCCTGATGGACCCGGTGAGGTTTCTGACGGAGCTTGGGCCATATCCGGAGGCGCTAGGTCACGACTCGGCGGAAGGTCAGGCTGCGGCCTGGGATGCGGCCGCAGCCGCAGCACTGGACCGAGTCGCGCCGCTGCGGCCTCTGACCCGGCGTAGATCTCAATTAGCCCCTTGGTTCACTGAGGGGCTGAGAGAGATGAAACGCCGGAAAAGACGCCTAGAGAGCAGTTGGAGGACGTCCCGAACCGAATCCGACCGAACACAGGTAAGGAGACAT